ATTCCACAGCTCCCTAAAAAACGGGAATACAGAGCCTCAGGGATCCATGGGGGATCCCCTCGAACAGCGCCGTGAGCTCCTTGGGGTTCTTCATGGCCATGGACTCCACGGCTCCCTGGAAAAACGGGGGGCCTGAAACCTCAGGGATGGATGGGGGATCCCCTCCAACGGGGAGGGACTGATTCCCTCTCCTTGGGGTTCCTCATGGCCATGGACTCCACAGCTCCCTAAAAAATGGGAACCCAGAGCCTCAGGGATCCATGGGGGATCCCCTCGAACAGCGCCGTGCGCTCCTTGGGGTTCTTCATGGCCATGGACTCCACAGCACCCTAAAAAACAGACCCCAAAACCTCAGGGATGGGTGGGGGATCTCCTGGAAAAGCGCCGTGCGCTCCTTGGGGTTCTTCAGGGTGATGGATTCCACGGCTCCCTGGAAAACAGACCCCAAAACCTCAGGGATGGGTGGGGGATCCCCTCAAACAGGGCTCTCCTCTCCTTGGGGTTCCTCTGGGCAATGGACTCCACAGCTCCCTAAAAAACGGGAGCCCAGAGCCTCAGGGATTGGGACTGATCCCCTCTCCTTGGGGTTCTTCATGGCCATGGACTCCACAGCACCCTAAAAAACAGGGCCTGAAACCTCAGAGAGGGGATGGGGGATCCCAACAGGGAGGGACTGATCCCCTCTCCTTGGGGTTCCTCAGGGCCATGGACTCCACGGCACCCCGGAAAAATGGGAACCCAGAGCCTCAGGAATTGGGACTGATCCCCTCTCCTTGGGGTTCTTCATGGTCATGGTCCCCAAATCCTCAGGGGGGTCCCCAAATCTTGAAGGGGGGTCCCCAAATCCTCAGGGGGATCCCCAAATCTTGAAGGGAGGATCCCCAAATCTTGAAAGGGGGGTCCCCAAATCCTCAGGGGGGTCCCCAAATCTTGAAGGGGGGTCCCCAAATCCTCAGGGGATCCCCAAATCCCCACAGGGTTCTGGAATCTCCCTCTATGGAGGAGCAACGGGGCAAAACCCCCCAAATCCTCACGAGCCTCCTCCACGTCTGGAAGCCCCAAAACCTCCTCCCACCCTCTCCAAACCCCCTAAAGCCCTGTCAAGACCCCCCAAAATGCCCCAAATCTCCCCCCTGGAGCCCCTTCCCCCACCTGGAAGAGGAGGAAGTTGCGGGCCTTGATGAGGATCCTCAGGGGGATCCCCAAATCTTGAAGGGGGGATCCCCAAATCCTCAGGGGGGCCCCCAAATCCTCAGGGGGGTCCCCAAATCTTGAAAGGGGGTCCCCAAATCCTCAGAGGGATCCCCAAATCTTGAAGGGGAGTCCCCAAATCCTCAGGGGGTCCCCAAATCCTCAGAGGGATCCCCAAATCTTGAAGGGGGGTCCCCAAATCCTCAGGGGGATCCCCAAATCTTGAAGGGGGGTCCCCAAATCCTCAGGGGGATCCCCAAACCTTGAAGGGGAGTCCCCAAATCCCCACAGGGCTCTGGAATCTCCCTCTAGGGAAGAGCAATGGGGCAAAACTCCCCCAAATCCTCACGAGCCTCCTCCACGTCTGGAAGCCCCAAAACCTCTTCCAACCCCTTCTAAAGCCCAAGACCCCCCAAAATCCCCCAAATCCCCCCCTTCCCCCACCTGGAAGACGAGGAAGTTTCGGGCCTTGATGAGGATCCCCAACTTCTCCAGCTCCTCGCTGTACTCGCTCAGCTGCACCACCCGGTTGTTGATCTTGTACTCCGAGGAGCTGCCTGGGATTTGGGGCATTTTGGGGGGTCACCGGGGACCCCCAAACCCTAAACCCCCCCCCAGATGTGCCCCCTCAGCCCTGGGACCCCCAAAATACACCCCCCTTTGACCCACAGTAACGGCAGTGAGAGCACAGCCCTCGGCCCCCTCCTGTTCCAGGGGTTTTAGAGCAGATTTTGGGGGGTCACAGGGGATCCCCAAACCCTAAACCCTCCAAACCCTAAACCCCCCACCAGAGGTGCCCCCTCAGCCCTGGGACCCCCAAAACATGCCCCAGTTTGACCCACAGTGATGGCAGTGAGAGCACAGCCCTTGGCCTCCCCCCTGTCCCAGGGGGTTCAGGGCAGATTTTGGGGGGTCACAGGGGATCCCCAAACCCTAAAACCCCCCTGTGCCCCCCATACCAACAATAACCCGGGCAAATGTCCTGTCCTCAGCCCCCTCCTCAGAGTAGACCCACAGAGCCCTCCCCAAACCCCCCCTGTGCCCCCCATACCAACGATAACCCTGGCGAAGGTCCTGTTCTCAGCCCCCTCCTCAGAGGGCACCCACAGAGCCCTCCCTAAACCCTCCTGGGTGCCCCCTGTGCCCCTCTTCCGAGGGCACCCACAGAGCCCTCC